ACCCCATCACAAAGAAACAGAATTTCTGGAGGACGAGGCCCAGAAATCAGGATTTAAAAAAAAGATTCCCAGGTGATTCTCATGTGCAGCTGAGGCTGAGAACCACTGGGTTAGGGTCTAACTTAGACCATCTACAGATTCTGACATGGAACAGCTGGTGTGAGGTTCTAGAATCCTCTGATCCCAATAGCCTTTGACTAACATTGCAGGATCCTTTGGGTCCAATGACCTAGGATTCCAACGTCCGAAGCGTCTGCGATTATAACGCCCTAGCCTTCAGAGACAGAGTCCTCGACCTAGGTCAGGGGCCGGCAAACTCCAGCCCGCAAGCTGTTTGCTTTTATAAATAAAGTTTTATTAGAACACAGCCACGCCCCATGCCCTCTGTGGCTGCTTTATTCTACCGGGAAGACTGGGTAGTTGTGATGGACACCAGACGTGACCTCCTGACCAGGAAATAGTAAGCTACTTACTCTCTGTTCCTTTACTGAAAAAATGGACTGACCCTCTGATCTGCATAGTCCGAGGTTCCAAGACGATTCGAAGACAGATGGTGCTTTTACAGATATTTACTGAATGGTGTGCTTTATAACTTACACGTAGGTTCCATACATTCCTTCCTGCGTATCCAACATCGCTGAATAATATAAATGCTCAGAAGTGACTGGTTTCGCCCTGGCCGGTTTGGCTCAGTGGGTAGAGCATCAGCCTTCGGACTCAAGGGTCCCGGGTTCGATTCCGGTCAAGGGCATGTACCTGGGTTGCGGGCACATCCCCAGTAGGGAGTGTGCAGGAGGCAGCTGATCGATGCTTCTCTCTCATTGATGTTTCTAACTCTCTATCACTCTCCCTTCCTCTCTGTGAAAAAATCAATAAAATATATTTTTAAAAAAATCAATAGAAAATATCCTTGGGTGAGGATTAACAACAAACAAACAAACAAAATAAGAGACTGGTTTCTCCATTTTAGCCATTCACTCACCCTTTCAGGCTTCTAGAATTCCATCAAATCGCCAAACTTCATCCCATTTTGGTGAGGGGGGGTAAAGTGTCATTGATTTGTTACTTTAAAAAATTGTAAAATAGCCCTGGCTGGGCGGCTTTGTTAGTTGGGTCATCAAAAGGTTGCAGGTTGGATCCCTGGCCCCAGTTGGGGCAAATTCGGGAGGTAGCCAATCGATGTGTCTCTCTCACATTAATTCCTTTTTTCCCCTCTCTCTCTCTCTCCCTCCCTCCCTCACTTCCATTCTCTCTAAAAGTCAATGGAAAAACATATTCTCAGGTGAGGAGTAACAAAAATAAATATTTGTAAAATGTGCATGACATAAAATTCACCAGTCGTGGCATGTAGTGCATTCACAGTGTCCTGCAGCTGTCACCACTGTCTAGTTCCAGAACGTATTCCTCCCCCACTCCCCGAAGGCACCCCTCACACCCTCCACCCCCCACATACCTATCAACTAGTCAGTCCCAGGCAACCATCAGCCTGCTTTCTGTTGCTACAGATTTGTTGTGGGAATTCAACCCGTTTTGACTGACAGACGTGTCAGTTTCCTGGGGGGTCGATGTCATAACTGCCTGGGTGTCCTGTCATCCTAAGTTCCTCCCCATGTTGACGTGTAGAGACCCTGTCCTCAGCCCACAGCACGCCCCAGACACCAGGCCCGGCCCCGGCTTCAGGGATCCCAGCCTCTGAGAAACGGATGCCCCGGGACTCAGTGGCCGAGGAGTTTATGCAGATCCCGTGACCTGAGAAAGGGTCTCGTAAACGTATCAGATCAAACGAAGTCTGAGCAGATCAAGCCCCCACGGTCCCCACCCTCAGCTCTTTCCTTCGAGTCTATCTCTGACCAGAGAGGGTTCCCGCAGAAGAGGCCTTCAGGACGTGGGGGGAGGGGGCAGAGGGAGCGTCTGCCTTCAGGGAGGATGGGGGTCTGGGGCGCGGCGCAGCCAAAGGCAGGGTCACCCCCACCCCAAGAGAGGCCTGGAGACGCCCAGGTCCCATGGCAACTTCCAGTCTCTTGTGTCAGAAACAACTTCCTCTAACAACAGGATCTTGTTCTCTAAACAGCCATGAGATAAATATAAACATATGCCCTCCACGTCTGACGCACGTGGACGGGAAAGGAGCCACAGAAACCCAACAAGCTCGGGGGCGGCCTGCGTGGCGGCCTGGACACTCAGAGACGGAAGGCAGCCAGGTAGGATGGCCTGAACGTGAAAGTCCTAAAAGTGAGTCACGTCCTGGGCCCATAGCCTTCTTGGCAAAGGTCAGTCTTTACCTTAAGCGACCCAGTCATTATCTTTTTGCATCTAAGATAACATACCTTGTGAGTGTGTGTTAATCCTCGCCTGAGGTTATTTTTCCATTGATTTTTAGGGAGCGTGGAAGAGAGAGGGAAAGACAGAGAGAAACATCAATGTGAGAGAAACACATCGATTGCTTGCCTCCTGCACGCGCCCCGACCTGCAGGGAGGAGCCTGCAACCGAGGTGCCTGGAGTCGAACCCGGGACCCTCTGCTCCACAGGCTGATGCTCTATCCACTGAGCCAAACCGACTCAGGCTAAGATAACGGACCTTTGAAAGGTCAGAGGGAGCTCCTTTTCCAGCCCCCTCGGGGTGCACTCAGCCGCCAGGGCCGAGGCCCGAGACCCCCTGGGTCACCCGGGCCCCGAATACCACCTCCACATGCTGTACATGCCGATGACCCACTCCCCTGCGCCCACCCGTGCTCAGAAGCACGTGTCTCCCCCGTTTTACTGTTTACCCAACCCCAGCGCTTTCCCTTCCTTGCTTTCTCCCGCCCCCCTCATCTACCACCCATGGGGCTCACTTAACCCTCCTTACGCCTCCTGCGTGGACTGTAAGGTGCAAACTTAAGCTGCAAAGCGGCCACGTTCAGGGGCACTCTTTCAGATTGTTGAGATGTTGCTTCCAGGCCGTTGTCATCATTTTGGCTCAGACTCATACAAATTCTCTACGGCTTTGGATGCTTCTTACAGCGACACATCACACAAGGAGAGACACGCAAACACACACAAAAGAAGTGCCCAACAGCCCTGGCCGGGTGGCTCAGTTGGTTGGAGCGTCCTCTTGTGCACCAAAAGGTCCCGGGTTCGACTCCCAGGCAGGGCACATAGCTAGGCTGTTGGCTCCATCCCCTATCGGAGGCTCGAATGGGGGGCAACCGACCCATGTTTCTCTCTCTCTTTCCCACTTCCTCTCTCTCTCTCTCAAATAAATAAATAAATTGGTGGACAAACAATTCCAGAGTTGGAGTGAGAGCCCTTTCCTCTTGCTAAACCTGCTTTCTTAAAATGTAAATTCTAAGAATTTATATCCTTTCTGTGGTTATTTTTAACAAACATTTACGTAGCGTGTTCTGTGAACCAGGCACCACTGTGGGTTTTAAATTTTCTTCACCCATTTTTAAAATTTTTTTAAAAATATATATTTTATTGATTTTTTACAGAGAGGAAGGGAGAAGGATAGAGAGCTAGAAACATCGATGAGAGAGAAACACCGATCAGCTGCCTTCTGCACACTCCCCACTGGGGATGTGCCCGCAACCCAGGTACATGCCCTTGACCGGAATCGAACCTGGGACCCTTCAGTCCGCAGGCCGATGCTCTATCCACTGAGCCAAACCGGTTAGGGCTCTTCACCCATTTTTTAAAATCGGTTTTATATTTACAATATGACTCTTTTGATCACGTTTTAAAATTGATTTTAGACAGAGAGGAAGGGAGAGAGGGAGAGAGAGAAACATCGATGTGAGAGAGAAACATCGGTCGGTTGCCTGCAGCCTGGGCCTGGCCCTGACCGGGATTCGAACCTGTGACCTTCCGGTGCACCGGACAACGCTCCAACCAACTGAGCCAGACGGGCCAGGGTGGACCTGGAATCGGAACCTCATCGTCCTGGCTCCCGAGTCCATGTTCTCAGCCTCCGTGCTGTGCTGGGAGGGAGCTGGAGAACCACTACGGTCAACATCTTCCCATTTCAAAGTTGGACAACTGAGGCCCACAGAGGAGAGAGTGTGTCCCTGGACAGGGACCAGGCCCGGGGCAGGTCTGCCTCCGGCCGGCCTGTAGTGTGTGGGTTCTTGACTTTGTGCAGGAGAGATTTCACAACGTGAGTCCGGGTGACTGTGAGAGTGTGTTTATTAAAGCGGGGACGGTGACACAGGGCTGCTGTCAGCTCACTGGGAAGTCAGAGAAAAGGGGGCCTTGGGGACGGGATAGGGGGCGAGCTGCCGCTGCCCACTGCTGTCCTGGTTGCAAGTCTCGTGGGGGCCTTTAGAGTTTTTAGGAGGAAGTAAAAGTTCATGCCCTCGAAGGGGCGTGGGCGTGCTCTAGAGCGAGCCACTGCTGGCATCCTTTGTCTTGAGGGTTTTATCTCCCTTCTGCAGGCGAGGATCTTAGGGGAGGGTTTCGGCAGAATATTCATCAGTTTTCCAGTTGTTGTTTTTTTTAATAATATTTTTGTTGCTTTCAGAGAGGAAGAGAGAGGGAGAGATAGAAACATCAATGATGAGAGAGAATCATGGATCGGCTGCCTCCTGCACGCCCCACACTGGAGATCGAGCCCGCAACCCTGGCCTGTGCCCCGCCCGGGAATCGAACCGTGACCTCCAGGTTCACAGGTCGATGCTCAACCGCTGAGCCCCTCCGGCCGGCCGGGCTCCAGGTGTGTTTTCAATATGCAGATGCATCCAGGTGAGCGTAGCGTGGAGTTTGGGATTATGCCTTGGTCTGCTTTGCTGTTTTAGTTTTATCTTGGGTCCGTCTGGCTCTAGTGTTTTGTTTTGTTTAATATATTTTTATTGATTTCAGAGAGGAAGGGAGAGGGAGAGAGAGATAGAAGCATCAATGATGTTCGAGAATCATTGATCGGCTGCCTTCTGCACCCGCCAGGGATCGAGCCCACAACCCGGGCACGTGCCCTTGACCGGAATCGAACCAGGGACCCTTGAGTCCCCAGGCCGACGCTCTATCCACCGAGCCAAACCGGCTATGGCTAGTGGGGCTCTGGTGGGGAGCTCTAGCTCCCCTGACCTCATCTGTCCTTGGGTTCGGCCGGCACCAGTGGCAGTAACTGGGTCTCTGTTCTCTCGCTCCCCGACCAGGGGGGTTAAGCTCCGTGCTCTCTGGTGTCCTTGGTGAGGGGGGAGAAGTCTGGCGATTCCCTAGCTGGCTGTGCTTTGTTCAAATTGTTTGGCCTGGTGTAGCTATCCCTCTCGGTTTCCCATTCCACTTGCCCAGGAATTTTCCCAGCTTCTTGCTATCCTGCCAGTGGGGTTTGTGTGTGTTCCGTCTGCCTCTGGGGCCTCAGGCTCTGTGGTTGTCGCTGTGGTCTTTCTGTGGATGACTCGGCCCCGAGCTGTCTCCCCCGGGACACGAGAGACAGGAGCAATTACTGGTCAGTCCTCAGGGCTCAGCCGGGCAGACCGGAGGGCTGGGCACACCCGTGGAGGCTGGGAGGGGGCGGCAGGCTGTGGGTGCTGGGGGAGGAAGGCCTCCCAGGGCCCTGTGGGGACAGCAAGACCCCCTGGCCTCCAAGGTCACACCGCACGCAGGTCTGGCTGCCGGGAAGCTGGTGACACTGAGACTGCGGGTGGGGACCTGGCCAGCCTTCCACCCACCACCCCATCCTGACCTCATCTGCTGCCCAGTCATTTGGGATGTGAGTCATGGGAAGAATACAGGACAAACACCTCGGGAGGAGGAAAAGGCCACTCCTGCTTCCCCCCGGGGAGGGAGGTGTGCGGGTCCGGGAAGTGCAGTGCCCAGCAGCCGGGCAAACAGGACCAGCTTCCAGGGACCCACGAGGTGCCGGACACTCGGGAGAGACCCCAGACGGCCAGGGTCCCAGCTGAGGGCCTGGATCCTGCTCCCAGGTGGCATTTGGCCAAATCGGGGGCCCTCTTGCAAGAGACGGTAAGGATGGAGGGGAGAGGGCTGGAGGGGAGAGGGCTGGAGGAAGGTGGTGGGGATGGTGGTGGGGGGGTGGTTCACAATCTTGGCCCAGGAGTCTCCTTCCTTTCAGAATCTGGGCATCAGAACCTGAATGTGAGGAATGAGCTCTTAACCACATCTCGTTGGAATCCACATCAGAACCCCAGGCTTTGGGACAGCCCCGGGCCACCCAACCAGAAGGCTGCCCAAAAGATCCAAACATATCACCACCCTCAGGTGTCCAGAACTCTCGGACCTGCACCTCCCGGGAAGTCCACCAGATGGTCACGTGGCCCAGGAACCAGCCCTTGAACCTGGCGATTGATTCCACTTCTTAGGCAAGGCCCTTGGACTCCTCTTCCCGTGTAACATCCGCACAGAGAGGTGCGCTTGCAGCGCGGGGTGTCTCCAGGAGCCGAGCACTCAGGTAACTGGCACCCACGGGGGTTGGGGGGGCCCTGAGGAACAGGCCGGGCTCAGGCCCAGCGTCCCGTGGCCCCACCCCCGTCACTCCCCACCCCCCAGGGGACCCTCTGGCCTGGTTTTAACTTTCTGTGAGTGGGATCATCCATCCAGTAGATTCTCCTGGGTGCCTGGCTCTCTCTCCTCACACGGAGCCCACCCAGTTCATGCTCTGGTCCTAGGATCTTCCACGGCCTGACCAGCGCGTGGTGTGTCTCTCCGTCCTCCCGTGGGTGGGTATGTGCACGCCGCGAGCACCCCGTGCGTGTCTTTCCGTTCCGTCTGTTCAGCCTCCACTGTGCCCCACGGTTTCCCCGAGCAGCGGTTCCAGCCAGACCGGCTGATGCACAAACGCACGGGTGACCCTGTAGCTTCTCTGTGCCTCAGTTTCCCTCCTTATTATTATTATCATCATTATTTTTAAAAAATATATTCTTATTGATTTCAGAGAGGAAGGGAGAGGGAGAGAGAGAGACAGAAACATCAATGATGAGAGAGAATCATTGATCGGCTGCCCCCTGCACACACCCCTATTGGGGATCGTGCCCTGGACCGGAATCGAACCCGGAACCCTTCGGTCCGCAGGCTGATGCTCTAGCCACTGAGCCAAACCAGCGAGGGCTTAAAAAATATTTTTATTGACTTCAAAGAGGAAGGGAGAGGAAGTGGGAGATAGAAACATCAGTGAAGAGAGAGAATCATTGATCTGCTGCCTCCTGCACACCCCCTACTGGGGGTCGAGCCTGCAACCCGGGCATCGAACCGGGGAATCTATTCCTGACCAGGAATCGAACCGTGACCTCCTGGTTCACAGGCTGATACTCCAACACTGAGCCACGCCGGCTGGGCCCTCTTTATTATCGTCTCCGTCAAATATCAACTGAGCACACGCTGTGTGCCTGGTGCCGTTCGGGATGCCGGACGCGGCAGGGAAGAGCGGGCACTCCGGAAAATGGGGACCATGGTAATAATGCTGACATCCTGGGAAACGGAGCTAATAACAACTTATTTCATAGGGTTACGCCTCCTCTATGATGGGAGTGATTATAAAATGATTATGGTAATTATGTTTTATATGTAGATAGAGACATACAAGCAGACTGCGTTATATAAAATAATGCTGCTGCTCATGGATTATCATTAAATGTCCTTGAGTCCGAGGCCGACTAATCGCGTGACACGCCCAGGCCGTGGACTGATTCCGAAGCCTTTATGGAGACAGGAGGGTATGTGTGTGCAGATAGGGAAACAGACCCAAGACACATGAAGGGGACGAGATTAAGCGATGACACAGTGGATGTTGACTGTTCCCATTTCTGTGTAATATATTAAGAGGGGAATAACATACACAGACGGACTGAGTTGCTTACACGCAGAGAACTTTCCGGATTTTAATCGGTAAGAGCTGGGGAGGGTGGGGGGGTCTCAGGGCGGGGAGAGAGGGTGGGCCTAGGTGGCAGGTAGCGGTGCCGGCCACGCACACACGTCGAAGGCCACTGAGGACCAGGTGCTGCGCTCAGCTCTTCCCGCCCATTAACTTGGTGAATTCGCACAACACCCGCGAGATGAGGCAGTGGAGGCCCAGAGAGGTTAAGTGATGTGCCCAAGGCCACACAGCTGGTGAGATTTGAGTTTTTAATAATAATAAAAAATTCCTCATCCAAGGATATGTTTCTATTGGTTTTTGGAGAGATGGGTGGGAGGAGAGAGAAAAATCCATGTGAGAGAGAAACATTGATTGGTTGCCTCCCGTATACACCCAGACCAGGGATCGAACCCCAACCCTAAGGATTCGCCCTGACTGGGAATCGAGCTACACCCTTTTGGGGCACCAGGTGATGCTCCAACCAACTAAGCCACCCAGTCGGGGTGAGTTTAAAAAAAAATTTTTTTTAAGAACTTTAAAAAAAATATTTTTATTGAGTTCAGAGAGGAAGGGAAAGGGAGAGAGAGATGGAAGCATCAGTGATAACAGAGGATCATTGATTGATTGGCTGCCTCCTGCACGCCCCCTATTGGGGATCGAGCCTACAACCTGGGCATGTGCCCTTGACCAGAATCGAACCCGGGATCCTTCAGTCCACAAGCCGATGCTCTCTTCACTGAGCCAAAAGGGATGGGGCTTTACTTTTTAATTAATTAATTGATTGCTTGGTTTTTAAAGAGAGGAAGGGTCCTGGCCAGTGGTGCTAAATGGTTAGAACGTCAGCCCTTGCATCGAAGGGTCTTGGTTTCAATTCCAGGTCAAGGGCATGCATCTGGGTTGTGGGTTTGATCCCTGGCCCCAGTTTGGGCATGTGCTCTCTCATATCGATGTTTCTCTCTCTCTCTCTCTCCCCCTCACCCTGCTTCCCTTCCACTCTCTCCAAAAATCAGTGGGAAAAATATCCTCCGGTGAGGATGGACATAAATAAATAAATAAATAAAGAGAGAGAGAGAAAGGGGGAGAGAGAGAGAGAGAGAGAGAGAGAGAGAGAGAGAGAGAAAGGGGCAGAGAGAGAGAGAGAAAGGGGCAGAGAGAGAGTGTGTGCGAGAGAGAATCATTGGTTTGTTGTTCGACTTATTTTTTTAATATATATATATATATTGTTGATTTCAGAGAGGAAGGGAGAGGGAGAGAGGGAAACATCAATGATGAGAGAGAATCATTGATCGGCTGCCTCCTGCATGCCCTGCACTGGGGACCTGCAACCCTGGCATGTGCCCTTGACCGGAATCGAACCCGGGACCTTTCAATCCGCAGGCCGACGCTCGATCCGCTGAGCCAAACCAGCCAGGGCTGTCCCACTTACTGATTTATGCGTTGGTTGTTGCTTGTATGTGCCCTGACTGGGGATCAAACCCGCAACCTTGGTGCTTCGGGATGACGCTCTCACCACCTGGCCTCGGCCAGGGCTCCGAGGGTTTGAGTGTTTAAAGCTCACTCCAGCGACGAACATAACACGAGAACAGAGGCCCGTCCTTCAAACACACACGCACTTCAAAGGGGCTTGGCCTCTCAGCGGCTACTGAGCTTCTCCTTTACTTTTGCAGGGTGGAGGGAACGGGGGCGGGCGGGGGGGCGCCCCAACTTCCCCTCCGCCTTTCCTGTTGTGTTAGCCCTGGCGGGAACTCCGGGCAGCGCCAGCAGGCCAGCCCCGTCAGCAAGAGCCTGAGAGCCAGGCCGCCCTGCAGATCCAGCGTCTCCCCCAGCTCTTGCCCCGGGTCACGTGCTGTACACACAGTGACTCCTCAAGGCCTCCCCAAACCGGTGAGACAGGCTCACCTGGCTGACTCTCGTTTCTCGGACAAACTGCAACCGGGTCCCGGAGCCTGGATCTGCTCGCGGCCGCTGGCTGTCCTGCCTTCTAACTCTCCCGAGTCTAAGGTTTTTGGATGATAAATAGTCTAGGGCCCGGAGTACCAGAGTGGGGCTAACACGGTTTGAAACGCAACTCTTGTTTCTGGCTTAGCTGAGCGATCTTAGGTAAGTTACTTAACTTCTCTGTGCCTCGGTTTCCTTGTCTGCAGAATGGGTATGACGGCGGCATTAAAACCAGAGGGTTGTTAGAAGGATTAAACAATAGGATGGCCCTTCCTAGCCAGTTTGGCTCAGTGGATAGAGCGTCAGCCTGCGAACTGAAAGGTCCCAGTTTTTTTTTTTTTTTTTAAATGTATTTCTTTATTGATTTCAGAGAGGAAGGGAGAAGGAGAGAGAGATAGAAACATCGGCTGCCTCCTGCACACCCCTCACCGGGGATGGAGCCCGCAACCCAGGCATGTGCCCCCCGCCGGAATCGAACCTGGGACCTATCGGTCCGCAGGCTGACGCTCTATCCACTGAGCCAAGTCGGCTAGGGCGTCCCAGTTTGATTCCGGTGTCAAGGGCACATGCCCAGGTTGTGGGCTTGATCCCTGGTTGGGGACTTGTAGGAGGCAGCCGATCCATGATTCTCTCTCATCGTGGATGTTTCTGTCTCTCTCTCCCTCTTCCTTCCTCTCTGAAATCAATAAAAAAATATATAAAAAACAAACAAACAAACAAACAAAAAACAATAGGATGTTTAACGGTGCTTGGAGCAATGCCCAGCACATAACACGAAGTGCTCCGTAGATAATGGCTTCTAAGAATAATATTAATAATCATACCAACAACAATAATTACTATCGCTGTAATCCCGTGGTCGGCAAACTGCGGCTCGTGAGCCACATGCGGCTCTGTGGCCCCTGAGTGTGGCCACGAAGTTTCAATCGCACTGTATGTGTGCGCCCGCACGTGGTATTTTGTGGAAGAGCCACACTCAAGGGGCCGCAGTTTGCCGACCACTGCTGTAATCGATCATGTCGCTTCTCTGCTCAGTACCCGCCCATCTCACACGGAATACAAGATAAGGTCCGAAATGCCCCATGTGGCCCCTGATATCTCTTTGTTCTGACTTCCCCCTAATCTCCTCATCTATCACTCCAGGCACATGATGTTCCTTGAAAGTGGCCATCACATTCCTACCCCAGGACCTTTGCACTGGCTCTGTCCTGGGCCTCGAAGTCTCCCCTAAACCCACACACAGCGCCCTCTCTCACTTCCATTATGGCTTCGCTCAGACGTTACCTTCTCAGAGACGCCCTCCCTGACCACTCATTTAAAATTCCAATGTAGGGAATTAAAAATTCCCTTTGTGATTTTCTCTCTCCCTCGTCATAGCATTTGTCACCTTCGGAAATACTTAGTATTTTGCTTGTTCTTCTCCTGTCTGACTCCTCCCACTAGGGTGGCAGACCCAAGGGAAAAGGGGTTTTTGTCTGTTTGTCCCTTGCTGTGCATGCAGTGATGGCAATGGAGAAGGTACTCAGGAGTTGTATTGAGTGAATGAATGAATGAATGAGTTGTAGAGAATTCAACTTTTTTCCCTGCTTACCTATCTCTATCATTACTTTTTAAAATTGCTCCGGTGGGATTCTAGAAACGTCCGTTTCTCGACATGGCCGCCAGTTTCCCAGTTGTGCTCAGGCTGGGAAACCCAGCGAGTGTCCCTGTGTGAGGTGTGCCTTTGCTGTCTGCATGTTTTACTAGGATCTCATTTATGTTAAAAAAAAAAGGGGGGGGGGGCCCTTGCCGGTTTGGCTCAGTGGACAGAGCATCAGCCTTTGGACTGAAGGGTTCCGGGTTCGATTCCAGTCAAGGGCATATGCCTGGGTTGCAGACTCAGTCTCCAGTGGGGGGCGTGCAGGAGGCAGCTGATCAATGATTCTCTCTTATCATTGATGTTTCTATCTCTCTCTCCCTCTCTCTTCCTCTCTGAAATCAATAAAAATACATTATAAGGGGGGGGGGGGCGCTGGCTGGGTGGCTCAGTTGGTTGGAGCATCATCCCGTTCACCGAAAGGTTGCAGGTTTGATTCCCAGTCAGGGCACATACCTAGGTTTTGCGTTCGATCCCTGGTCGGGGCAGGTGTGGGAGGCAACTGATCGATGTTTCTCTCTCTCTTCCACGCTCTCTAAAAATCAATGGAAATCATATCCTCAGGTGAAGATTAACAAAAACAAACAAAAAGGTGAGAAAATTGCTCCAGAGGCACATTCCATTGCACCAAGATTTGAAAATACAGGTGAAGAGGAACCAAGTCAAATACTTTTGCCCTGAATACATATTAACCTTTCCCTCTTGACGGATACACACACTCCAGTATCTTAAATCCCAGAATGATGGGTGAGTGTTCTAACATGTTAATGCGCTAGAACTCCATTGCCCAGTAAGGCAGCCACTGGCCAGGTGTAGCTATTTACATGAGTTAAAATTAAGTAACATTGAAATTTTACTTTCTCGGTCACCATGGCCCTACTTCTTCTCTTTTTAAATATGTTTTTATTGATTTGAGAGAGGAAAAGAGAAGGGGAGAGAGAGAGAGAAAAACATCGATCGGCTGCCCCCTGCAGGCTCCCTACTGGGATTGAGCCCACAACCCAGGCATGTGCCCTGAATGGGAATCGAACAGGCGACCTTTCGGTGCTCAGGACGGCGCTCAACCAAACTGAGCCGCGCTGGCCAGGGCCCCGTTTCCGACACTCAGTGGCCACCTGTGCTGGCGGCTGCCACGGTGGACAGCACAGACACGGAACACGTCCGCCAACATCGCGACTTCCACAGGACAGCGCTGCTCCCCAGTTCCGAGCAACAACCGGCTAGGGTTCCAATAGTGTCGTATTTCAGAATTCCAAGATTTTTAAAAATATATTTTTATTGATTTCAGAGAGGCAGGGAGAGAAAGAGATAGAAACATCAATGATGAGAGGGAATTCTTGATCGGCTGCCTCCTGCAGGTCCCCTACTAGGGAACGAGGCTGGAACCCAGGCATGTGCCCTGGACTGGAATCGAACCCAGGATCCTTCAGTCTGCAGGCCAATGCTGTATCCACGGAGCTATCCGGCTAGGGCAGAATTCCAGGATTTTTTTTTTAATCTTGATCGTGCCCTAGCATTGGATCGTGTCCCAAGTTCTGAGATGCCCATAAGCAGGAGTCTAACACTGACTTGTTTTAGAATTCCAGAAGGCTCACCGGCCAGGGCTCTGTCCTTGCATTCGAGAATCCCAGGGTTCTAACGGGCTGGGGTTCTAGGTTGGCATATTCTAGAATTCCAAATGCTAACCAGCTAGTCCACCGGCATTGCAGGGAGCCCAGTATTCAGACACACCGGCTCTCCAACATTGCCGTATCCTAGTTTCTTTTCTTTTCTTTTTTATAAAATCCTCATCCTGGAAATGTTTTTCCATTGACTCTTAGAGAGAGTGGAAGAGAGAGGGAAAGACAGAAACATCGATGTGAGAGAAACACATTGATGGGTTGCCTCCTGCACGCGCCCTGACCGGGACCCGGGCCGGGGAGGAGCCTTTAACCCAGGTACGTGCCCTTGACCGGAGCCGAACCTGGAACCCTTCGGTCCACAGGCCAGTGCTCTGTCCACTGAGCCACACCAGCCAGGGCTCATATCCTCGTTTCTCAGATCCTGATGGGCCGGGTTCCCACACCCGAGGACTCCAAGCTGGGAGAGTGTCCGTGGCTGAGGTGGCGTGGCCTTTGTCTCCTGCCCAGGTGCCTGGATGGAGAACGCGTCTCTCAGCGACGAGTATGAGTACAGCCACTATGACGAGGAGGTTTCGGATTTCCCCGTGGACTGCGCCGACGGCACCTGCGTCGCCCTCGGGCCCCTCCGAGTGGCCCCTCTCCTGCTGTACGCACTGGTCTTCCTGGTGGGGGTGCCGGGCAACGCCATGGTGGCCTGGGTGAGCCGCCAAGAGGCCCAGCGGCGGGCCGGGGCCGCCTGGTTCCTCCATCTGGCCATGGCCGATCTGCTCTGCTGCGTGTCCCTCCCGATCCTGTCGGTGCCCATCGCGTGGGGAGGCCAGTGGCCCTATGGGGCCGTGGGCTGCCGGGCCCTGCCCGCTGTCATCCTGCTGTCCATGTTCACCAGCGTGCTGCTCCTGGCCGCCCTCAGCGCGGACCTGTGCCTCCTGGCGCTGCGGCCCGCCTGGTGGGCACCCGATCGGCGGGCGTGCCGGGTGCGGGTGGCCTGCGGGGCGGCCTGGGCCTCGGCCTTGCTGCTGACCCTGCCCTCGGCCATCTACCGCCGCCTGCACCGGGAGCGCTACCCGGCCCGGCTGGAGTGCGTGGTGGACTATGGCGGCTCGGCCGTGGCCGAGAACACGGTGGCCGCCGTCCGGTTTCTGGGCGGCTTCCTGGGGCCGCTGGTGGTCGTGGCCGGCTGCCACGGCGCCCTCCTGTGCCGCGCGGCCCCACGCCGCTGGCCGCTGGGCATGGCCGTGGTGGCCGGCTTCTTCGTCTGCTGGGCCCCCTACCACGTGCTGAGGCTGGTGCTCGCCGCGGCCGCCCCGCGCTCCCGGCTGCTGGCCCGGGCCCTGCGGGCGGAGCCCCTGGTCGCGGGCCTGGCCCTGGCCCACGGCTGCCTCAACCCCGTGCTCTTCTTGTATTTCGGGCGGGCGCAGCTCTGCCGGTCACTGCCCGCCGCCTGTCGCTGGGCCCTGCAGGGGCCGGAGAGCCAGGATGAGAGTGCGGTCAGCAAGAAGTCCACCAGCCACGACCTGGTCTCGGAGATGGCGGTCTAGGCCGGAGGGGAAACCGGCCTGTCTCCTCCGACCCCAATTCACCAAACTGGCTTCAGGGAGATTCAGGGTTTCAGTGCTATCGTCATGTATCCCTTTATTCACTCAACAAACGTTGTTTTTTTTTTTTAACATATATTTTTTATTGATTTCAGAGAGGATGGGAGAGGGAGAGGGAGATAGAAACATCAATGATGAGAGAGAATCATTGATCGGCTGCCTCCACCGTCCCCCACTTAGGGATCAAGCTTGCAACCCAGGCGTGTGCCCTTGACCGGAATTGAACCCAGGACCCTTCAGCCCTTAGGCCAATGTTCTATCCACTGAGCCAAACCAGCCAGGGCTCAACACATGTTTCTTATGCACCCGCTTTGTGCAATGAGTATCCTAGTATAGGCCCTGGGACGTAGCAGTGGCCCAAACAGACACAGGTCCCTGCCCTTGGGGAGCTGCCTGTCTTGCGGAGGAATACCGGCAATAAGCAAAGAAATAAAGAAATACGCAATGTGTCCTTCGGGTGAGGTGGTATTTGAACCAAGATCTGAAGAAGGGAGGGGAGAGGCATGCTTCAACCTGGAGAAAAGCATTTCAAGCGGAGGGAACAGCAGGTGCAAAGGCCCTGGGGTCAAGTGGGCTTGGCACATTCCAAGAAGAGCAAGGAGGCCAGTGTGGGAGAGCAGAGTGAGCGAGAGGGAGAGTGGGGTGAGACGGAGAGAGAGAGGTGGAGGGGCCTGGGGGGGTGGACTTGGAAATGCTTCTAGACCATAGCAACTGTTTGGGGATCCCCGGGAGGGTTCTGAGCTACAGTGACCAGGTAAAATACCAAACACCCAATTACATTTGAATTTCAGATCAACCACAACATTGTTTAGCATGAGGTATGGCCCATGCAAAAAATTTTAAAAAAATATGTTTTGTTGATATTTAGAGAGGGGGGGGGGGAAGAGAGAGAGAGAGAGAGAGAGAGAGAGAGAGAGAGAGAGAGAGAGAGAGAGAGAAACATCGATGAGAGATGAACATCATCATCAATCAGCTGCCTCCTGCATGCACCCCCACCTGGGAATGAGCCTACAACCCAGACCTGGGCCCTGAGTGGGAATCGAACCGGCGACCTTCTGGTTCCTGGGTCCGAGGCTCCATCCCTTCTGGCCTATGCAGTATCTGACATACTTATGCTAAAAACATTGCTTGTTTGTGGATCGGAAATTCAAATTTAACTGAGCAGTCTGTAATGTTTCTAAATCAGGCAACCCTATTCTGAGCAAAGGAGTGTCTGGATTTGACTTAGATTTTAATAGGATCCCTCGGTTGCTGGTGGAGACTGGACTATGGGGGAAGGGAGAGGGTAGGGAGGAGCTACTGCAAAGGCTGATGGTGCGAGAGGTGAGGGTGACTTCGATCAGGGTCACAGCAGCACAGGTGGTGAGAGGGTGACAGGTTATGGATCTATTTTGCAGGAAAGGCTGCGTCCAAGCTCTGTAACTTGGTATTCGAGACCTGTCTCCACCGCTGAACACACTTATATTCTAGGTGCTCAGACCCTGTAGCAAACAGAATGATGGCCCCAAAGATCTCCACATCCTAATCCCCTAAACTTGTAAATAGGGGGCCTCACATGACAAAAGGAACGTCACAGATTTGATTGCATGAGGGAGCCCGAGATGGGGAGACGATCCTGGATCATCCAGGTGAGCCCACCGACATCTCGTGTCCTTCTAAGAGGGAGGCAGAAGGGTCAGCGTCAGTAGCAGGAGATGTGACCATGGAAGTAGATGTCAGAGGGATGTGGGGAGGGGGCCACAAGCCAAGGAATGCAGGCAGCCCCCAGAAGCGGAGAAAGGCAGGGAAATGGATTCCCTCCAAAGCCCCCAGAAGGAACACAGACTCGCCAGTGCCTTGATTTCAGACTTCTGACCTCCAAAATCCTAATTGAATAAATGTGTGTTGTTTTAAGTCGCTGTGCTTGTGGTAACTTGTTACAGCAGCCACAGGAAATTAATACAGATCCTCTGGGTTGTATAATTTTCCCACCTCTGGGTCTGTTCTTCCGCTGGTGCCGCTGCCTGGAAAGCCCCTTGGGTCTCTGCTGCCCAATGTCGTAACCACGAGCTGCCTATGGCTTGTCAAATTCAAATAATTAAAATTAAAAATTTAGCTCGCGGTTGCATTAGCCACAGTTCAAGTGCTCAGTAGTTACGTGTGGCTGGTGGCGACCAATTTGGGGAGAACAGATACAGAATATTTCCCTCGACATAGGAAGTTCTTCGTATGTCCTTCCATTCTAGAATCTCACCTGTTCAGATCTTACTTTTCTTAAAGATTTTTAAAGAGAGAGAGAGAGAAACATCGATGTGAGAGTGAAATATCAATCAGCTGCCTCCTGCACACCCCCTACTAGGAAGCGAGCCCACAACCTGGCATGTGCCCTGACCGGGAATCGAACCAGCAACCTTTTGGGGCATGGGATGACACCCAACCAACTGATCCACACCGGTCAGGGTTGTCCAGATCTTTTAAACCACACAGTGGTGGCGTCTGCGTGTAGAGTCATTGCTTCAGGACAGCACTTTACCCACAGCTTTCCTGTCAGGTAATTTTCACAACAACCAAGGAAGGTGGGAGGAGATGCTGCATGTTGTAAGCTGAGGCCCAGGGAGGGGAGGCCATTTGCCCAAGGTCACCCAGCAAGGAAATGACAGAGCTGAGGTCTGACCCCATGTTTACTTGACGCCAGTGCCCATGCTCTTCTTCGTCAGCGACATTTCCCTTCAACACCTGGTTCAAACGACACTTTCTCCAGCGGGCCCTCCCTGTTCACCCTCCTCCCAGCGAGGAAGGAGTGCTCTTCTCGTTTCCAAGTTTCCGGAACACAAGTTCCCAGCTGAACCGTAAATTCCCCAAGAGTGACATCTGGGCCACTTTAATCTGTCTGTCTCTCTCTCTCTCTTTAAAATATATTTTATTGATTTTTTACAGAGAGGAAGGGAGAGGGATAGAGAGTTAGAAACATCGATGAGAGAGAAACATCAATCAGCTGCCTCCTGCACACCCCCCACTGGGGATGTGCCCACAATCAAGGTACATGCCCTTGACCGGAATCGAACCTGGGGCTCTTCAGTTCGCAGGCCGATGCTCTATCTACTGAGCCAAACCGGTTAGGGCTAATCTCTTTTTTAAAAAATAGTTTTTTATTTTATTTTATTTTTTTTTATTTTATTTTTTTTTAAAAATACATTTTATTGATTTTTTTACAGAGAGGAAGGGAGAGAGATAGAGAGTTAGAAACATCGATGAGAGAGAAACATTGATCAGCTGCCTCCTGCACATCTCCAACTGGGGATGTGCCCACAACCAAGGAACATGCCCTTGACCGGAATCGAACCTGGGACCCTTCAGTCCGCAGGCCGACGCTCTATCCACTGAGCCAAACCGGTTTCGGCGAGTTTTTTATTTTTTAATTGCAGTTGACATACATTACTATATTAGTTTCAGGTGTACATCCCAGTGAGACATTATATAACTTACTAAGTAATCATCCCAATATATCTTGTGCCCATATGACACCATACCTAGTTGTTAGAATATAATTGACTGTATGCCCTATGCTGTACTTTGCATCCCCATGACTATTCTGTAACTGTCAACTTGTACTTCCTTTTTAAAAATTGTTTTTATTGTTTAAAGTATTATATGTCTCCTTTCCCCCCTCAATTTGTCCTTCTTAATCCCTTCACCTTTTCTACCCATCTCCCTGACCCCCCTCCTATCTGGTAACCGTCAAAATGTTTTCTGTACCTGTGAATGTTTCTGTTCTGGTTGTTCATTTATTTTGTGTGTTTTTTAGATTCAATTTTAATAGATACGTATTTATTGCCATGTTATTGTTCATATTTTTTTATTTTTTTAAAAATATATTTTATTGATTTTTTACAGAGAGGAAGGGAGAGAGATAGAGAGTTAGAAACATCGATGAGAGAGAAACATCGGTCAGCTGCCTCCTGCACATCTCCTACTGGGGATATTCCCGCAACCCAGGTACATGCCCTTGACCGGAATCGAACCTGGGACCCTTCAGTCCGCAGGCCGACGCTCTATCCACTGAGCCAAACTATTGTTCATATTTTCAGCTATTGTTCATATTTTTAATTTATTTTTCTTCTTCTTCTTCTTCTTCAAGAAACCCTTTAACATTTCATGTAATACTGGTTTGGTGGTGATGAATCCCTTTAGCTTGTTCTTGTCTGGGAAGTTCTTTATATATCTTTCCATTCTAAATGATAGCTTTGTTAGGAAGAGTAATCTTGATTGTAGGTCCTTGTTTTTCATTAATTTGAATATATATATTTTTGCCAGTCCCTTCTGGCCTGCAAAGTTCCTGTTGAGAAATCAGCTGACAGTATTATTTCAAGGAAACTCCCTTGGTGTTTTTAAGATTCTTTTGTTCTCTTTAATCTCTTACATTTTAATTATAATGTGGCTTGGTTCGAGCCTCTCTGGGTTCCTCTTTTGGGACTCTGCACTTCTGGGACTTGTATATCTATTTCCTTGACCAAGTTAGGGAAGTTTTCTGTCATTTTTTCAAATAGGCTTTCAATTTCTGGCTCTCTCTCTCTTCTCCTCCTGACCCCCTATGAATGTGAATGTTGCCACACTTGAAGTTGTCCCAGAGGCTCCTTACACTATTTTCTTTTTCTTTTTTTCTTTTTTATTGCTTACAGTATTACAAAGGGTATTACATATGTGTCCCTTTTTTCCCCCGCCCTTGACAGTCCCCTGGCCTCCCCTGCCCCCCAGTGTCTTATGTCCATTGGTTATGCTTATATGCATGCATACAAGTCCTTTGGTTGATCTCTTACCCCCCTCCCTCCTGCCCCCTATCCCTCCCCGGCCTTCCTGCTGCAGTTTGACAGTCTGTTCGAGGCAGCTCTGCCTCTGTATCTATTATTGTTCAAAAGTTTATAATGGTCTCTATTATCCATGAATGAGTGAGATCATGTGGTATTTTTCCTTCATTGACTGGCTTATTTCACTTAGCATAATGCTCTCCAGTTCCATCCATGCTGTTGCAAATGGTAAGAGTTCCTTCTTTTTTACGGCAGCATAGTATTCCATCATGTGGATGTACCACAGTTTTCTCCTTACACTATTTTCGTGTTTTGTTTT